TAGGTGTAGATCTTCGCGTCGTCATCCAAGCCATAAAAGGCGCGGGTAAGGGGCTTTCCGACAGTTGTCATCTCACCCAGGGCCTTGTAGGCAAACATGAAGATGGGGTCCCAGTTGATGGTACCATTGCCGGAGAGGTTGACCTCGTCGACAGTGGTTCCGTTCAAAGCACCGTAGCCAGCATCCGTGGCAGCTCCGACAGCACCGTACTCAAGACCACCGGTGGAGGACGTGCCCAGGGAGTAGCCAAAGCCTCCGGCTACGTAGAAGCGGTTCTTGAAGTCGGCGGGGCTAGGGAAGCCGTAGTTGAGGACGACCTCATCGGTGGTACCAGTGTGGACATATGAGACGGACACGGCACAGTACTCGGTCGACTCGGAGGTAGCGGTCTTAGCAGTCACCGAGGAGGGGATCATGTCAATACCGAGTAGAGTGCCATTGGCAGGGAGAGCCGACTGGACGTGAGAGACGGTACAGAGGGAGGCAAGGGAAGAGGAGTTGGCAGCGCGGGCCGTTGCTGCCAGAGCAACGGTAGCCGCAGCGGCGCGCGAGTATTGACGCATGGTTTAGAAAGGAAGAAGATACAGAAGGATTGGAGTCCGCAGACGATTGGAAGAGAAAAAGAATGGATATGTGAGAGTGAGAGAAAGAATGAATCAAGCTTGGTTGAAAAATGATCATCTGGGTGGCGATGTGAGGCTATTTAAACTCAAAATCCTCAAAGCATGGACCATCACCCCTGGCCCAACGTACGTCACACCATATGGGCTATGGTTTGAAGATGTTCTTAGACCCGATTCTCCTGTCGAGGTCCACGAATCCACTAGCGATGCCGGACAGAGAACAAAGAGAGAAGGAGTACGTGTTTGAGAGCAGCCTAAAGGCCATAGGCGGATCTCCTGACCGATCCTCACCTTCCCGTGCGAGAAGCTTAATCCAGTTAAACACAGAGCAGGTTCTGGGGCCTTTGGCCCAATGTCCCACCTCGCAACAGGGACTCATGCTCCAGGGACACGTAAGTCTCCGGGCTTAGTCCAAGAACCTCGACCCTCTAAGCAGGCAGACAGATTCTGTTGACACAGGGCTGGAATTTCCAGAAGGTGGGTCCTTTGGCTATCTCAGGCGTAGATGTGTGTTACGCGATATTGAACTTCTTGGATCTTCTTCTCTTTTCCTGGCCTTCCTTGTCAGCCCACCTCTGTAACCTCCTCTCTCTTTCTTTCCTCATGGGTATTGACATTGGTTCGGTTGTACTTCGGGGTTCCATGTCCCTGGCCAAGGGCCTGCGGGCTCAAATAGGCTATTTAGGACATTGGGGGAGTCGAAAGCGAATGCTTACGATGCTTGGGGTTTTCCGCAGAGGCTAGAACAAGGGTCTGCAAGCAGTGAGTGGTGCACCTGCAGGTCCTTGGAGAACCCCGGAAGAAAGCTTAGCAGCAAGGTTACGCGTTCTCGCTGTCTAACCCTTTTAGTCGATTTTAGTGGGTTTCATAACGGGAGCCAAGAGTAGTATTGCAGATCGGCGAACTGAACCAGTGGCACTAATTACTGCACCGGTCAGCGACCGTGGACCCCAGATAAGATTTGGAGATTAGCTGGCCCGGAGGGTCCAGGTATAAAGTATCTAACCATACCCTTCGAGTATCATCTCCGATGGCAAAAGACGATAAGAATAGAAAATCGTGTTTCGTTGAGTAGGTTACCTGCAGCACGTGTTTCGTGCGGTGGAGCCCTAATCTACATGCAACCAGCCTATAGGTCAAAACCAACGCCGTTGACTCTGTACGCAACAATTAAGTTACCAAGGCAGTGGGAGAAAAGATAAGAAAAAGGTCAAATTAAAACCAAATTAACAGAGAGTAGTACGGACTACATTAAGCATGTCCGAGTACCAGACAAGTCCGAGCATTCCTATTTAGGGGCCGAGTGTGATTTCCCGATCGGGTATGATTCGCGAATGTGGCGATGGACTTCTTTCTGCTTTCGTGCCAGGAGATCCGTCAGATGCAACAAATCCTTTATTCACAATTCCCGCACACGGCCCCACCTTGTTATTACCGGCAGCTAGCAGTGTTGGAAGTTACCCTAACAGTGTGGAAACCGTCTCCTATGTGGACACTTTTCCCGTTGCACCAGCCTGCATGATCGGGGCTACATCTAACGCGGGATGTATGTCTACGTTGTCTATCTATAACCCCCTGACATAGATTCTAGTCCAGTAACATGATCACAGTCGCCGCTGATGATGCTTCACTCGTGCCAAGGCACGAGATGTCGAGACTCGAGACATGGAAAACTATCCCGGGTGAATAATTGCCCTTGGCGCAGCATCCATGCCATTCAACGCAAGATCCTCAGTATCATACGCAAAATAAGTCTCTCTATCCTTCAACCCATCGCATGATTAGACGTGTTTGAGAGTGATAAAGTTGGCGTCTTTCATGCTCCAAAAGTGGCCACCGCCGCTCAATTGCCGTAGAATCTTTTCAGTGGGGTGGATAAAGTCTTTTGCATGCGATCCACAGTAAATTAATCCCTCTTCCTCACCATTCAAAATCATAATCACTTGGCCCACTTGACTATGCAAGAAGCGTATCGTAATTAATCAAAACGATCCAGCTACATGGTGCTATGATATCTCAGTAGATGAAGCTTCGTCACCAGTCCATGATGTCCTGGGTTTGGTGAGTCCACCAAATAACCGTTCCGAAGCTGTTCGGACGGTATCCGCAGCTGTGCAACATTTCTCAACCTTGCTCTTTATTTCGGTTGAGTCTCCACTTTGTTGCAGCCACTTGCAAGTGACCCTGAGTGTATGCATCCAAAACCGAAGTTGTCGTCGTGGAATTGGGAGGACTGCAGAAGAGCCCCTCCATCTCTAGACCACAGCCATGTACATAGCTTCTGATGAACTTCCACCCGATTCCTATTCGCTCTCAAGATCAGTCCCAGTGTTCTAGGCACCAATTATGTAGCAGACTACATGGATTGTATGATGAATGATGGTTGTTGATCCTCGATGCTGAGGAGGGGTCCTCCGTTAGATAGATACTGTAGGTTCTACCATACAAGATAGGCAGAAACACATGATCATATGACAAATTAATCTCAGATTCATTCACCAGGCGATATGCCACGAGGGATTCTGGCTGATCGTTCCACAGTCTTCGGGCCCCGTTACGCGTATATAGTTTGCGTAATTCGGATAAAGTATTGTCAGTTTATGTCTGCAAATCAGGTGGTCCTGAAATCTGCCTTGCAACATCCAGCTTCTGGTTCTGTGTAGATACAGGACGTAGCGGTCGGATACCACACTATCCGACTTCAGGAAGTGTGTCAAAGAAGGAATGTAAGCGAAGTACACCCCGTAGAATTGAACTTGTCGGCGGTACGATCATATTCGAAGATCAGTTCTGCCCTAGTGGTCGTTTGTAAGCGTTGGAACATGCTTATAGCTAGATTCGGTATCTAGGAGTACTATGGCCAACTTTGTGGGTGATATATGTTATTGATGGCGAGGAATGTAGCTTTGTGTCTTGTCTTTCTTTAAGAGTACTGACCTGAATATTCCATGCGGTAATTCATCTTGGGTTTTGCGTTATATTAGCGATAATGATGTCGCTGTCGAAGTAGTCATGTACTATATATGTCTGTGTATATACCATAGGTATTGCGCATGTATATATATATATATATATCATTAAATATATATCATAGTATAGATATATCATATATATAGTATAGTAGTATAGATATATCATATATATAGTATAGTAGTATAGATATATCATATGTATAGTATAGTAGTATATATATATCATATATATATGTATGTGCTATACACCACATAACATAAAGAGTACAATGAAATAGAAGATCAGTCGTCCAGTAGATATCATTCTGAACGGTACGGCATCTTATCCTGAATCTTGGATTACTAGATCCTTTTCTTTTTAACATTATTCAAGTTCACTCTACGATATTCTCCCTTATTGTCTAAGGGTTGGCATTGAGCCTCAAAACTTCATAGATAGCGAGATAAATATTTGAATTGAATTGAGAGACTTCATACAAGGCTGTCTGTTAAATATGAAAACATATATCCGTCTACTCGGTCTTCTCTACGCAACGTAAGAAAGCCAGGCTAGAAACAGTCCCTTTCTCAAAGTATCCAACCCTCCCCTCAACAACGAACACCAGAGATCAATCCATTATTTCTCTTGATGCTATGAGTAAAAAGGCATAACAAAATAGACAACAGATCGACATAGCCCAGCCAGTAGGCAGTGCGTTTGAAAGTCACAGCAACGATGGAACTAGTAGACCATCCGCACGTGTGATAAACCTTGTCTTCAACCCCAATCTGAATTCCCATTAGTAATATCCCCCCCACAATATCCGGTATTATCTTCAAATGGTGAATGCAAATCTAAGCCCTGTTTTTCCTCTCTGCATCTCTCACCCGCACTTTGCCTGTCCGGCCCTGCGAAAATACCCCACCCCCTATTCACATTCTAACTCGGCCTGCTTACGACTCTACCAAAATATCGAGTCACCACGGTTAACATCACGTTCACAGATGGTGGTCAAGATGAGCACATATCCAGACTCATAGGAATCTCGACAGAGTATGTTTGATTGTTATACTCCATGGAAATACCTGAGCAATTCTGATCATTTTAATTTTAAGTCGAGCCCACCAGGAGCAGCTGCATTCCCGCTCGAATCGCTCTCCAAGTACGCCCTAACTCACTTTACTGTGAGGATCCAGTTGATCTCGCATTCACCTTCAAGCTTACATGGGATGCGCGTTTTGAGTCAACAGACTCAAGATTCCTACTCTTTTACCGTATGGCATAGTGCTTTGTGTCTGGAAGATACACTGCGTGAAGCACACCCCTGGATGGATCCTGAGATTGGCCCCCCTGAATCTGGAGCCTAACCCTTTCCCACGACAGGCATACACCTTGAGCTCCACAAAACCCGAATTTTCACCTCTTTGCACAGTCCGCTGATCTTCCATATGTCGTATCACCAATCTCGCCGCTTTAATCGCGTATAATATACGTTTCACCCTACTAATTCTCAGATCCAACCCAGCCTAACCAAATCAACCACTAAACCACCCCCTCCCCCCGATCAACAATGTGCGACTCCCCCAACGCAGCCTTCAACACCAAAACCAACTCATCAATCGAGGCCAAAAACTTCAGATACGAACTAATAGCAACGCAATACCTTCTATAACTCTCATCCCGGACCAATGTCTTACTCAACTCCGCAGTCCGATGCTGCTGACTCCATGTCTCATAGCACCGCTTAACCAACGGCGTGGGCAGCCGTTCCGGCAGCGCGGCACCCGCCTTCAGTGCCTGTTCGATGACACCTAGTACGGCCATGACGTCTCCAACGGTGTAGTCGTGCATGAACCCCACTCTTTCCATTAGTCGTTCTTGTAGGTTCAGGGGAAGTGTGGTGGATAGGACGAGCAGACGACCCAGGGCTTGGTTCATGTCTTCGAGGAGGGATTGGGTCCGGGAGAGGGTCTTGCGGTTGAAGGGGCCGAAGCTCATTTCGAAGCGGAGCAGACCGATGGGTGCTTTCAGTGATAGGAGGGTTTCGGCCATCTCGAGAGTGAGTTTCTCCGCTACGGTGGCGATCGGGTGGTCTGGGTCGGTGCGAGCCCAGTGCGATAGGACTAAGGCGTAGTGATCGGATATTGTTCGCACGGCGTTGGACATCGTCTGGCAGATGTGGCGGGTGGCTGATGGGGGTCGGGGGAAGAGTTGCACGACGGTGGCGGCGACGAAGCCCAGGAGAACGGTGACGAGCCGTTTCCAGAATGCTTCGTAGCCGCGACCTGGCAGGCCGTATTGTTGGATGTGGCCGTCGTCGTAGCTGAAGCCGACGACTAGGACGAATGTGGCGCCGCTCATGATGGCTGCCATTGCTAGAGTCGGTGGGAGGAAGATCCGCCACCACATTAGTATAATGGTCATTGCTGCGGTGATTGCTCCTAGTCCGTATGCGTTGCCGGGTCCGTGTCCGGAGCCAATGTACCACGCGACCATGCCTAGAACTCCGCCGACTATGGTGCCGACGAGGCGGGATACTAGGGACAGGGTGAAGTCGGACATGTAGACTAGGAGGGTGGTCTGTGCGGTGATGACCCCCCAGATGCCTTTCTGGCGGTAGAAGAACCCAGCGGTGTTGGGGAGGGAGGAGGGAATCGAAGTTGCGATCGTCACCACCACCATACGGAGAGCGTACATGCCGGCTGGGTTGAACAACCACTGGTAGATCGATATAATGATACGGGTAGTGGGAGTGCGCTGGGGTGTGCCATATCCCCGGCTGATCCTCAGTCGACGATCCGCTTCCCGGGTTCGTTCCTCCAGGGCTTCCGGGTCCGTTGCGGTGTTTCCTGCGGCGGCTGACATTGGAGTGGGAACACTGCCAGTTCCGACCCAAGTCAAGGCATACTGTAACCGAGAAGGGACCCAAAGTCTTGGTTTTGGGCGATTTTCCAACAGCCATAAGATGTGTTCGATGAGGTTCTGGGTTGCTTCGGCCATTGTTAAAATGCGCTCTTCAATGACCATGCCGATGATGATGCCTCGTAGAACATGCACACCGCCCACATCACCAGTCTTGAAATCACCCTGGTCATCGAAGATCTCCGCGTGACTGTTAATCAGTGCTTCGGTTGTTGCGGTGATACTGGATGTGCGGATTCTACGGAGCGTCTCCAACGCATCTCTCACTCGCGTAGTCTGCTGGACCATCTGTGCCTGCGAGGGTGCACGGACCCATCGCCGATTGTTGACAATGTTGATGGTCTCAATGCTGATATCTATTGCATGCGACATGGCTTGTAGAAGCGGCTGAGTGGAGTGCTTGAGTGCCTCTAGTGTACGTGCACGGATGGCTGTCTCTTCTGCATCCTGAAAGGCGTGTATCAGGTCATTACTCTGCTGGATCTGATGGTGGCCAATAGCCTGGTTCTTCTTTTCTCGCCAATCGTTGTTAGATTGGGCCACATCGTGTTGTGCAAGCTTTGCTTTATTCTCCTCATCATGTATCCGTGCGATGTGGAAGTTCAGCAGAGACAGCGAGGCGACCAGTGTTTGTCGTAAAGCCCGCTGTAGAGACTTCAAGTCATCGGCACCCCAATGACCGCGAGACAGGTCGAGAGGAAGAAAGGCCAACAGTGGGTCGAGAGCCTTAAGCGCACCGATGCCCTTACTCTTTGTATCGGCCAGTTGCTGCAGACTTAATTCTTCACCACTTAGACGCTCTTCAGTACACTTCAGCGGCACCTGCCCCAAGCGAAGCAGCTGCTCCATCTTGGTAAGAACAGCATAAGAAGTGGACTGCGGAAAGAAAAGAAGACAACAAGCCGTTCCCAGTCCGATGCCTATAGCACCAGGCTCGATCAAGACTGTGGGTAATAAGGCCGTAAAAGAAGGCAAAGTCGGTCCAAAAAGCAGAAATAGGTCGGTAACAATAATGCTGAATACCTGGGCCAGAGCAAATTTATTATTTGCAACCCGTAGACGAGACATGGCATAGATGAAAGCACATGCCATGACATAAAAGACAACAGTCACACGAGCATCGAGCATGAACCCATCATGGATCAGTTGCTGCGTTACGGTCGTAGCGCTCTGTCCAGACTGACTAGCCTGCGTTACCACTGCCTGCTGCAATTGCTGAAGACGAGCCTGAGTTTGAGAGGAGGGGCGCGCAGCCAGGGCTGCCTTCATTGTGAGCAGACCCCAAGCCCAGCCCAGGCACATCCCAGCCAGAAGTGTCAACGAGGCAAGCAGGTATACGAACAGAATGCCTGCTGGTGGGACTATGTAGAGTACGAGGGCACCAAAGAACGTGGCGATGCCAATGCTCTGTAGGGCAGGCCCGATGAAGATCAATAGTGTCGCAACCCATGCTGCAGTCCAACAGCGAAAAAGGACCTTCAGATCGCGTAGATTGAAATGGTCCAACCATGCTGGTAAAGACCATCGAGCCCGTTCTGCCACACCGGCAGTAGCGGCAGGATTTGAGGATCCTCCCCGAGGGGTCATCTTTGGAGGGTCATCGCTTCTGAGATTATATCAAGCTTGAAGTTGGAAGGCAAGTTGCCAGAAAGTCAGGGTCAGCTCCATGCCGGAATCCATGGGATGACTGAAGTCTGGTTGCACTGGGCCCAATACGACGTCATCTACGGCTAGCATTCCAGTTACCGAATGGTCAACAAAGCCAACTGAGAAATACATATCGCTCGGCGAGGTGGGAGACATGGTTAGGACAATGCTACTGAAGCCATAAATACTTGCGATGTCTTTTATCTACCATTGATGGTAAAAGTAGTGGTGATCACAGCAAGGTCAAGCAAAAGCAGATGATAACCATTTCGGGATATGTTATCACGTGAGTCATTGTAGGTGTTTGTACTGTTTGCATTATCGGCAAAGAATGCAAATCGCACAATCAGGGAAGGAAACCCTTCCCGATCCTTTCCTCATTCGGCTGAGAATCTTTCTGCGTTTAAATGTTCAAGCATAAAATTATGCTAATAAGACTGTTACTCTGTATCTGATGTTGCGTTGCACCAAGACAGTAATGTTATATTCATAAGGAAATTTAAGGTCTACCCTGCGATCAAGTTACAGCAACTCCACAAGTCAACTCATCACCACGCGATCTTCGCAACAGGTCCCCGCGGAAACATGCGCACCAACACCTTCCGCAACTCATCCATGACCAGGACGCCAACCGCCAGACCCAATGGAATGAACCAATACTCCAACGGAATGGAAGCAGTATTGAAAAGTGACTGCAGACCAGGCACCTCCGTCACAAAAATAGCAATCACCAAGGACACGAGCATAGCCAGAGGCAGCCAAGGATTACGCCGTTTAGCGCGAATGGGATCGGCCTGCAGGATGGACATGCGCTTGCTCCGGACGGAGAGGATATTGCCCCATTGCATGATAACCAGCGTGACGAAATACACGCTCTGTCCGACATAGTTAAAGTGCGTAAGCTCGGCCTCTGTGTAGCCGCAGAAGCCGTCGGCGTATTTCTCGAATGCGAATACCAGGGCGTGGAAAGGGATGCCGGCTTTCTTGTACATGTACAGGAAGAACATGATATGGGCACAAAAGGCTTCCATAACTCCGACGAATAGGTAGGATTGTCCGTAGATGCGGAGGTTAATGAGGTGGTCGGTTTTGTGGTTGCGAGGCGGAAGGCTGAGCAGGTCGAATTCTTCCTTCTCCATGATGAGCGACAGCGACAAGAACAGATCTGTGAACACACAGATGATGATCATCAGGAAGGAGCTTAGCGGCAACGGTACGCCGAAGAAGACGTTCATGATCACTGGCCAAATCTCAGACCAACTGCCTGCCGGAAGCAGATAAGCGATGACCTTCTGGAGGTTCTGGAAGACCAGCCGGCCCAGGCGGATCGCCTCCACAATGGAATCAAACTTATCCAACAACACTAGGTCCGCCGCTTCGATGGCAACATCACTGCCTGAGACAATGGCAATTCCAACATCAGCTGCACGCAAGGCGGGAGCATCATTGACACCGTCGCCTGTCACGGCTACCACACTGTCTCGAGACTTAAGCTCCTCGACGATGCGCAGCTTTTGCTCCGGAGTGGTACGGGCAAAGACAATCTCCTCATACTGGCAGATTGAATTCCACTGGTCTTCGTTAAGAGTGGATATCTGCGACCCTTCCACCAGCAGACTACGTCTCGATCTTCCCCCATCCTTCTCAGGTGGCGCTGCGACTGCGGATGACCCCAGGTCCGCGACGGTATCCGGCTCAGCAGTTCCGGTAAAAATACCGATGTCTCGTGCAATCGCTGCAGCAGTCAGGCCAAAATCACCGGTTACCATGAAGAAGCGAATGCCAGCGCGTCGACAGGCCGCCACGGTTTCAGGAATCTCCGGACGGGGAGGGTCGATGATACCAAAGATGCCGATAATTGTCAAGTCCTGCACGCCATTGGCTAGCAGCTCATCGTTGAACTGGTTCGTGCCCAGCGCAGCAGTCGATGCATATTCCCGCTGGCAAAGAACAATGACTCGCTGGGCGCGGCGGGAGAGCTTTTGTTGGAATGCAGTAAACATGTCCTTCGCAGCAGCATCCAGAGGCTTGGCCACACCGTCTTTGGACCAGTACGAAGTACACTTGGGCAGAAGAACATCTGGGGCTCCTTTGACATAGATGAGGCTGTGGGTCGAGGAGGACGGATTTTGGTGGACAGTAAGCATCCACTTGTTTTTCGAGTTGAAGGGTATTTGATGGGTGCGTTGGTAATTATGAAGGTCGGTCTGTCCATCTGCTCTGAGCATCTCAGCCAAACGTAAAACGGCCGCGTCGGTCGCATTGCCATTTACGACGCGTTCAGGAATTGGCAAGGCCAATGTTTCTTGGTCAAAGAAGGCATCGTTGCAGAGCTTGGAGCCTCGCAGGAGGGGCTCAAGAGGTTCTGGAAGGGGAATTGACTTCTGCTGTGCGGTCACTAGATCCTCAACAAAGAATTCCTGGTCCACGAGGCCCACCGACTGCACAAACATCTTATTCTGGGTCAATGTCCCGGTTTTGTCTGAGCAGATCACGTTGACGCAGCCAAGGGTTTCCACTGTCGCCAGTCCCTTGGGCAGGATGTTGTTTGCCTTCATCCTCTTTGCGACGATCATTAAGGTGAGGGCAACGCCGACCGGCATACCCTCGGGAATAAAGGCGACCACGCAGCCCATAACATCGTTCAACATCTCAACAACGCTCATGAATTGTGGGTGGTCAACGCGCAGCCAGCCCACCCAGCTGAAAAGGATGGCTGCCGCTAGGATGACGGTCAGCACCACAATGATCCGTACGAATCGCGTGATCTCCTTCTGGATGAGCGTTGGCTTCTCCTTCACGTCTGCTGTAATGGACGCCAAGCGACCCATGACGGAGCGACTCCCAGTCAGGACAACAACACCAACAGCATTGCCATTGGTGACACCGGTGCCCATAAAGGCGATATTGCGGGTCTCAAGGAAGTTTTGGTCGGTTGCGTCGGTGGCACCCTCGACTTCATCGGACTCTCCCGTCAGAATGGACCGATCGAATCGAACATCTCCCGAGCTTTTGATGATGCGCATGTCAGCCGGCACCTTGTTGCCAATTGAGATATGAACGACATCTCCCGCAACAAGGTCAGTAGCTGGCAGCTTAATCAAGTTGCCTTCGCGGAGAACAAGAGCCTCCGCAGGCAGGAGGCCCAGGATCGATTTCATCACGCGCGATGTCGACCAATCCTGGAAGGCGGAGAAAGATGCTTGCAGGATGATGACGATGATGACCAGGATGGCCATGGCCAGGTTTGTCACTGAGGGAGGATTGCTGAGCGGTTTCCAGCAGATGAAGAAGATAATCACGCCGATCCAGAGGACCGAGCAGAAGCCACCAAAAACATAGCCCAGGATCTTCTTCACATGATTCTCCCCATGGTGTGCGATGATGTTCTTCCCGTCGCGTTGAAGACGAGTAGCTGCCGCGTCAGTACTCAAACCACGGCCTGCGTCAACATTGAACTGCTGGCACAACCGGTCGATAGCAAGTACATGGAAGTCCAGACTTTCGAAATAGTCCTGATCTGGTTTTTTCTCTTCCTTTCCCCGCTCTTTCAGCACATGTTCTGGGGCTGCCTGGGATTCGGAGATTTGAAACGAAAGGGTACGGAACTCTATTGGAATTCCAGCTGCCGTTGGGGACTGGGGAATACTGCGAGTGCTGCGAATGGTATCTCGACTGCGGGAACGTTTGTCGCCAGGGGAGTATATAGATCGAGTGCCGTCATGTACATTTGGACCGTCGAAGGTGATTCGCTGGGATCGGGCAGTGCTTCGCACCTGGTCATTGGGGGTCTCTTTATCGGCTTCCAGGTCCAGGGTGGATGAAGAATCGTCTGGCTGGTCCGCAGACACAGCAGCGGTGGGAGTAGTCATGATGATGCAGAACAAAAGTGAGACAGATGACTCTCGGATGACACTCTCGACAATGTGCAGTGATGCACTGGGTATAGTTCGATTGTACGATGCGAATGACAGATATGGATTGGCTGGGGATGAAGGGGTTGTTGCTGAAAATTCAACAACATCCTCCTGGGAAGCCCCTCCATCTATTTATCTGCTTCCAGGCCGTCATAGTGAACTCGAACCAGTCCCGAAAAGTCATGGTAGGGTGGGATGGCAGTCCCTATATCGTGGAGGGAAGCGAGAAAAAATGAAAAAATGTGTCACGGCGTCTGGGGATGGACAGGCAGACGGTTTCAGCTGCCATGAAGGGCAAAGAGGATTTTGCGGACCCCCAAAGCCATACGAGAGATCAACAGTGTCCTGCTGCTAGTGCAGGGAAGCGGCTGTCAGGAACTGGCTCTGGGAAATCCCTCACTGGCCCTGTGGATCCTGGTTGCCTTACCATGGATTGCTCCGGTCAAGCAAAGCTGGCAGACATACTACTGTAGCAGGTACTCACTGCCAACATGGGGCTGGCGGCAGTCCAGTAAAACTGTGATTATTCTTCCTTATAAGCCCAGTCACCGAAGTGGATGCTATCCATCCACAGGTCTTCTTCGCGCAGGCCAAATTCCATGACGAAACCTGGTACTCAGAGCCGTCTGTGCGGTTTACAAATAATCTCGCACGTGGAGAATAGGTGAGACCGTACTAGATAGCATTGCTGGGTCATTGCTTTGTATCAGCGCTGGGATGAGATCCCTATTGCCGATAGACTCTGTTTCATTTGTCGCCGATTGGCTTGTTCCCGGAAATAAGCATCTCCACGTGGGGGCTGGCCTAGCAAGTTGTAGAACTAGACATCCACCCTTCCAATCACGGTCCCTGTGCCAGAATGATGTCTGATATCGTGTTTGATTTTTGTGCATCAACATCCAGTAGCAATTGTATCCGCAATTCGATTTGGCTGTTTCCCGCATAACTGAGCAATTGTAGCAAGTGTCATAGGAAGCACCCCGTGTTGCCTTCGCACAAATGTCAGATTTGCCATCCTGCTAATATACATTGGTCCATCCTCACTTCGCTTGGTGCTGACACCATCACTGCGGGATTTTCGTGGTCCAAAGAAGTGCAGTTCCGTTCATCTCTGGTCTGTAACCTCGTGGGAGAGGGCAAGCCGTGTTCGCGACCGACCGACGGGTGGGAACCAAATGAATCGCTCTGAATAATCCCGCATACTTGGGACCACGCGGGAGTGCCCACCAAGCCGGCACCACCTCAAGCTCGACTCGAGTCGACTCGCCTCTGTTCCGTGGCAACAGCAAAATTTTGCTGTTTCTTTGTGTGTGACAAGCGGACTTTCTTTCTCCGGACTATGACAAGTTTGTCGCCCATTACCGGGGGTTGTTCTCAATGAGAATTTCCCTCAGGGTTTTCTATGTTGCGTGATTTTGTAGGGCTCGGAAATTCTCGAGTTGCTTGCGCTTGGCTTGTGTCCTATGGGAGGCATGCGTCTTCACTTTCGTGTCGATTACCTTAACGTCTCGCGACTGTTGTCCCTCGGGCTTAGAACTCTTACTCCACTGGGATTCATGTTATGATCGAATCTTTTGTCTGTAGCACTGTCTCTTTGAGTGAGGGTGGCGGTAGTATGCTATCAATGGTTCTAGCTTTGTTGCGCTCTTCGTCAATCCAGTCTGGACTGTGATAGCCCGTCCAAGATAATGATACGCCGAGGTATCTATACTCCAAGAATGCAAGTGTCTCTGGACTGTTCACCGCGCTGTTCCTCGTCCCCTCCTGAAGCTATGCAATCCAAATTCTAATCCAATTTCTGAGGGGTTCTATCCTTCACAAAGGTGATCTTTCTGGCCAACCAACACCCGAACGTAACACCGACCACCTCGCCCTGTACGTCCCGTTGAAATACAACAGTCCAATTCCCCGGTGCTGGCGCATCTAGGCCTCGTGCGCATACGAGAAACCAGATGTCGTCTCCCAGGTATCGCATGAGCTCAGCGGGCCCGTGGCCGAGGAATCCCTTGAACGATCCGTACAGCATACCACCGGCTCCGCTGCATAGAAAGATGGAGTCCATTTCCGCACAATGGTATCGGCCGACATAGTCGCCCTTGGGCGGCTGCTGACCAGCAATAATCCGTGTTGCCTGGATATGACGGTTGTCGTATTTACGGTGGAGTATGAGGATATCGGAACACAGCGTAGCAGTTGCCAGGTCCGACCGTGCTTCAAATTCCTCAGTGAGCTTCAGTGTCTCATCATCACCCGTATACGTAACGATGACTTCTCCTGGTCCCCCAAGGCGAACTTCAACCACCAGTTGTGCCTCCGGGTCAAAGTAAACTCCCGCCCAGTTTGGGGCCGGCATGGAAAGCAGCCCATGCTGGGCAGGGAGACCAAGAGCTTGCTGAAGGATATGCCCAGCTACCTCTGCGGCATCTATTTCGTGATTCAGCATAGCCACAACGGCAAATCGCTCTGTTGGTACTTGGGTCCGGTGCAGGCGATATCCACGAATGGCCCCGCCATGGCCAATTGTCGCAGTCTGTCCAAACTTTATATGTTCCAAGCCATATCCATACCCAGCTGGTGTACCATCATCGAATAGCGGCTCTTTTGCGATCTCTCGATACACACTCTCCCGATGGGCCCATGCTTTGTCCAGATAGCATTCGTACGCGATCATATCCTCCAGGCTGGCCACGACACCGGCGTCACCTGACCATTGAGTTTGGTTGACGGCCGGTATATAGCCAAAAGATTCGTTGCCTTCGTACCCCACACATGGCGGGGGCAACTTAGCGTTGTCTGCGCAGAGGGTTGCGGTTTTCATCCCAGCGGGCAAAAAGAGTCGTTTCGAGAGCAGTGCTCCAAGAGACGTTCCACTAACGTGCTCGACAATGCGAGCAAGGATATGGAAATTGAAGTTACAGTAGGAGAATTGTGTGCCTGGTTGGAAATGGAGGGACTTGGTCCGGTCCAGCGCTTTCTTGGCGTCATCCGCGAGAGTGAATTGCCCTTCCGGTTGTGTGCCCCAGAACATCGACATGGCCCAATAGTCTCGAATTCCCGATTGGTTGTTGCAGAGGTGGTCGATTCGGAGACCGTTGTTGTCGATGAGCTCGGGGGAGACCAATTGGCGAAAAGCATCCGACAGTTGCTGAGGTATATCGCCTAGCTCCACCATGGCTGGTGTGGGGTTACGCTCCAGATCCTTGAGGATCAAACACAACATCTGCTTCGTAATCGAGCATATTGGCATCAGTGTTGAAGCAGTCATGGGGATCCGTTTCCGCAAATCCGCATATCCCCAGGTATACTTTCCGGCCAGTTCGCCATCTTTGATGATGGCGACTGCTCCACCAGGACCTCGATAACGCGAAGGGATTGTTTCAAGTATAGCTTGCATGTTTGGGGACGTGACTGAAATCCAGGTTCAGTATTGAATTGATACAATGCAGTGGTAAGAAGAGCTTACTTGTAAAGGTTATGGTAAATCATACCACGCAGCTTGGAATCCGCAAAGCAGTAACCATACAGGTAGTTGTTGAGATCAAGTGCCTGCTTCTTAAAAGATGGACCAGAAGGGTATCGGGCACCCGTTTGGGAAGCGCCCGGCTCTGGCCGCACCGCGCCCTTACCCAAACCGGCATAGCTATGCGGTTAGTAGTCGTCTACTTGTCGATAAGAGAATCTTAGAGTGCAATTATGGCCAATCTTGGGAGGTAATTGAAATTCGTAAATACTCAATAACAAGCTAGCATGGAAAGGTTATCGTGTATTCTAGAGGGCTGCAGCCGAAGAGCTTTGTCAAAACCATTCACTGTCTGGGGAGAACGCACCATTGATCTACGACCGTCTGAAGATAGTTAACATACTCGCCGCTGAAGGATGAAGGATGCGTACTGAAATCAGGAAACAATCTTAATAGCAGCCAGGATGATGAAACAGCGACATCCACCTCACCATCGTACTCGTGGTTCCACTGGGGCTCTGAGACATGAATAAACCACCAACAGCAGAACATCCCACCATGCCTGTGTTGCCAGAAACATCAGTGCCCAGCTGGGCTGCTTCGAGCCGGTGAGCAAATATTTGTACCCCAGCCAAACCCCTATATGAGCCCCCGCTAGAACCAACTTCCCCACGGTGGATGCCCCGATGACGACTTTTCGTTGCATTCTTGGCCCGCCGGCTCCATCATATAGGATGAACAGTAAATATCCGACCCAGAAGCCGAGCGAAATAGTGAGGCATAGGGATGCGAAATATGGGAGTAACGAAGGCGGCTCTGCTGGGGACTTGATGAAGTTGTTTAGACATTTTCATATCAATGGGGCGACAAACATACCAGCTCTGGGGGAGGTACATAGCTTCGGTAAGCCCAGACGGTGGAGATGATCGCCGTTGTCATGAATGTGAGCCCACTCAAGGTTTGAATGACGGGAGCCGCTGGAATGACGAGGGAGGCCCGTCGACGAGCAGAATGGCGTCTGACATGGGGACTGGCATCATGCTGAGTTGCAGAGGCATAAGATGGTAAGAGGGGCTCAGTTGACATGGCTGCTATCCGGACCGTTGGCCCGTCCGCATATAGTAAACAGAGCGGACGCTTGAGGAGCCGTGGATTCTCAGAAAGAGTGGGGGAGACCAAGTGGAGATGCCCAGCAGCTGGCCATCACATCACATGATGGGCCGGTGTTTGCTGTGTTTGCTGGAACACCAGCCATTGTATTTACATCAGGCATTATTTCGAGTACACAGTGAGGTATATACCTCCTTACTCCCGGGCACGGTTGACTTCGTTCAACCACCATCCCAGTTCCACTCCTAACCTCCCCTCCTGATCATACATGACAAGATGTCCTGCTCCTTCGATTAACACCACCTCTCTGGCATTCAACTTAGTTCTCAGTCTCTCTGCCGTCTCCACCGGGATCCATCGGTCTTCTGTCCCCCAGATAATTCTGACTGGCATCACCTGGCCCACTTCGGAGTATCTCCCCTCGACTGCCTCTGTACTGCGACTGTTGGCTTGCGCCATTTGTCTAATGAAGCCCTTCCGGCCTTTCTCGTTGATAATCCACGGGCGTTTCAACATGTCCATTGTTTCCTTGCTCAACTCTGTATATGCCGCATTCCGGATATATGCCTCGACCATTCCTTCGAACATTGGGCCGGTCAAACTGATAAAGACATCTTCATTTTCGGCCACTGATTTGAACAAAGGCTGTCCGAATGGCCCCAAAGCAACCACATTGATCAAACACAAACTGGCAAATTCGCAGGAATGGATGAGGTGCGCCCGTAAACTCATCAGCCCCCCATGATCGTGGGCGACGACATGTGCTTTATTATACGCCCGAGGCCAGTCCTTTGACCAGGATTGGTAAAGAGCAGCAAATACCTCCGACTGCTGTGCGAGATCTGCATCTAGGGCGACTTCTTTGCTAACCTGTGCCTCCTTTCCTGGGAGAGGAATGCCCAGTGGGCTCTCGCCGAATCCCGGGTTGTCAAAGAGATAGACATGGAAATATCTAGCCAGGGAACGCGCAAAGACGTGCCAAACCCGCGAAGACCATGGGGTTCCATGCACGAAGACCAAAGGTGGCCGGGAAGCGTCACCTAATGAGGTCCAGCGTACAGCGTATTTGTGAGTAGTGGTATGGTAGTGAAATGTTTGAGTAAGTGGAATGTCAGTCATAAGTGAGCGGTCCATAATGCTACAATATAGACTCCGACGCTGTAGATTGTGGTTGTGATGATATTCTCCAAATCAGCCCCCCGGCTATGGAGATGCCAACCCCGCTTCGACGCAATGCGACCGAGTGAGCTTAGCTCCGTTTGTCATCCTTATCTTTCCCTCATCCCCACACCTTTTGGGAGTCATCGCATTTCCCAAAATCATCCCTTGCCAATTTAGTTTCCTGGCCTGGGACTTCGTTGTCGCTATTCAAAATGTCAACATCAGTTGAAAGCGACCGCGCTGCCTACCTTCTCGACGCGCAAAACAAAGCGGTGCAACTATTTGAGGAAATCGAACGAGACCTGATTCGACCGGGCGTGAGTGAAAAGACACTCAGCACTGAGATCCACGAGCTGGGAGCTAAACGCCATGGAGTCCGTACTCACTGGCATAAACGAGTGGTCCGCAGTGGACCAAACACCCTGAGTCCCTTCGCCGAGAACCCGCCCGATCGCATCATTCAGCCCGATGATATCCTGGTGGTGGACCTCGGCCCAGTCTTCGAAGAATGGGAAGCGGACTTCGGGCGCACATACGTTCTGGGAGATGACCCGGCGAAGCTGAAACTACGCGATGCGCTGGACCCCATATGGCACACGGTCAAGCGACGCTTTCGAGAGAACCCAGATATGACGGCGGAGGAATTGTACGCCATCGCCTGCCAGGAGGTTCAACAAGCGGGATGGGATTTCGGTGCTCCCATCGCAGGTCACCTGGTGGGTTCTTTTCCGCATGAGAGAATTCCGAATGATAAAATCAGTTTGTATATCGCACAAGGGAATGGGGATAAGATGATGGTTCCCGGTCGCGATGGGCACATGCGGCACTGGATCTTGGAGATCCACATTCACGATCGGGCGCGCGGATTCGGGGGTTTCTGCGAGCAGTTATTGACGGTGGATTGATGCGATGTGCTGGATGCGCCTAATTATCATGTGGAGAAAACGTCAGCAGACAGGTCACGGATGCCTTAGAGGGCAAATGCCACGATTATGGGGTCTTTCACACCATTAAACAAGAATTAGAGGATATAGGAACCAGGGTATAGAATATTAGAGATATCAGGACTTCTGATCGCATTTATATATTCAGTCTTATTTAAATTACATTGTTACTAAGTAATGATGGTTATTGTATTCAATCAAGATTCCTCCCCCACTCATGAAATGAAAAGGGTACATAGTAGGCTGCTGGTGGAAGTTGCCGGGAGTTATGGCCAGTTATATAACAGTTCCTAATAATTGCTGACTAAGATAAATCATAAGCATTCTATTATATTATATATAATAATTATACTAGTATTTATATATTACTTTGAAACTATATTTAAGAAAATAACAAGAGATTAACTATTTAAAACTTATTTTATAGTTATTTATTACTGTTAAAAGTCTATTATTTTTCTATTTTTAATCTATCTATAAAGAATTATATTATTATTTTTTTTTTATACTGACTGAGTTTTCCACAGATTATTTATTATTATTTTACTATTAATTTACTGTTATTTTATTTTTTTTATATATATTATATTTTTCTTTTTTCTTACTCTTTTATTTTTTTTTTATATTATTCTCTTATTTTTTCTTTTTCTTTTTTTTTTATTTATTTTATTCTTTTTTTTTTTATTTTTTTTATTTCTGTTTTCTCTCTCTGTATTAAAATAAAATAACTAAAATAATAATAAATTAGATTAAAAATAAGCTAAAAGACTTTTATAGATAATATAAAAAGACAGTATTAATATAAAAAAAATAAATAATAAAAATAATATAAAATCTTTTTTAACAAGTAATAATACAGCAGAGATAATTATAATAAAAATAATTATAATATAAAAGCTGGTTAAAAAAAGTAAAAAAAAATTATAAAAATTATTAAAACTTAATTCTGAAGATAATTAGAAAGACTAATTATTATTTAATTTAATTAAATCTTATTAGCTTAAACTTTAGGATTATATAATAAAGAATCTAATTAATAATTAAAAATAGAAAACCGGATTTATCCGGATCTAAGAACTTATAATTAAAAAAAAAATATAAAATATTATTAAATATAATTATCAGTATGTTGATAAAACAGGATAAAATCTTAATAAATATCTTATTTATTTTTTATATAATATAAAATCAGAAAATATACAGAGACTGGAAAAAATATTTTATTAAAAAAATTTTTCTAAAAATATTATAAATATAATAATATAAATTTTAAAAAATATTTTAATATAAATATATAACCTATCACAGATTAATAAATTAAGTGATAATAAAATTATTTTTAAAATAATTCTATTAAATAAGAATTTAAAAATATTTTATAAAAGATTTTTATAGCTAACTCCAGTAATTAAAATAATAGAATTATAATTTATTAAAATATATAAAACTAGAGTATAGTAAGTAATTAAAATAAAAACTAATTTTATAATTAAAAATAAATTAAATATAAAAGAGATTCTAAAACCAGTATCAGATAAAGAATTTTTATTATTATTATTATTATTATTTATTATTAATAATGAGTCTCCAGGTCTGTTAAAAATATAATAATTATAAATTTTAATTTAAAAATATAAACTATTAAATAATTAATAAAAATTAATTTTTAAATACCAGTCAGAGATATTTAATTTTAAAGATCTGTTTTAAATCTATACTTATATAAAAATTATTTTATAATTATTAAAATCTTAAATTATAACTCAGGCAGAGGAGATAATCATAATTATTAAAAATATTAAAAATAATAAAAATACTAAAATTATTAAAAATATTAAAATTAATAAAGATAATAAAACTATACTAAAAAAATCTAAGTACATGAAGAAAAAAATAGATATTTTAAAAATACTTAATAATTATATATTTAAATTAAGTATATACCAAGCTGCAGAGAATCTGTAATAATCTTTTAATAATAATATAAATTTAAATAACTTACTTATATAACTGACATTAGAAGATTATAAAAGAATTTTAATATATAAGAAGTAGCTGGATATCTAAAAATATTAATTTAATAATTATAAAAAAATCTATAGAAATCTATATATTAAAAATTTAATAAATCTTTATATAAAAAAAATACTACATGGTCAGGAACTGAAATTCTAGTAATTTATATATATTAATTATATTACTGAGATTATATAACTTGATTTATTATATAAAATAATTATTATAAATATTATCAGTATTAGAAAGACCTAAAAGACTGTTATATTTCTTTTATATATAAATATTTTTTTAAAAATATATAGAAGGCTTTTACAGCTGATATAATATAATAATTAAATAAATTTAAATATAAACTTACTGCAGCTGAAAAAGATAAATTAGATTTTTTAAAAAATTATTTTATAATTATTATTATTTTATTCCATCTCATCAAGCAGTGGATAGATAAAATTATATTAATAATTAAAGAATTTTAAATATTATTTTATTATAATAATATATACTGCCAGGCCGGAAGCTATATTAAAAATAAATTAATAAAAAAATATAAAATCTTTAAAAACAGATTAATAAATATATATATTATTATAATAATTTTTTATTAAATATAAAAGGCCCGCCACAGCCTCTAAATAATAAAAATTTAATATACTAGTAAGAAAAAGCTATATAATCTAATTAATCTTTATATATTTATAGATTTTCTAGGTAATCTGGGAGAATATTTCAGAATTATTATATTTAATAAAGTTTATTTATTATATAATAAAGGATTAGATATCTTATTTATTTATACTTAGTTATATACTAGATTCTATATTTTATTAATAGCTATATTTTTTTATAATAATATATATAATTTTCTAGAATATATAAGACTTCTCTTATTTTTAAATTCTAATATAAAAACAATATTCACTAATAATTATATATAATAGATTATAGATACTGTTTCAGAGATATAAAATAATTAATTATTTTATAACTAAAAATTTATAATAAAATATATTCTTAATAAGAAAATATAAGATATTAATACTATTTTATATTAGTTAAGAAAATTATTCTAATATCTAATAATCTAGTATATATAAGACTCTGTATTATTAATTAAATTAAATAATAAAATTAAAATAAATATTTCTTTTATATTTAAAAAAGTATTATATTTAAGTTTTAAACTAGAAAAGTTTATAATATACTAGATCTATAAAATTATAAATTATAGAAATATTTTTATTATTAACTAGAAGAAGCCAAGCTATATTTATTAATATATAAATTATTTTTATAAACTGATTCTAAACTTATTATAATTAAATTTTATTAATATAGAAAATAGCCTGCCTGCTTCTATTATTATAAAATTACTTAATATTATTAGATAATATAAGTAAATAATTTATATATATCCAAGTCTAAAGGCAAAGATTATAATAAAAAAGAATTTTATAAAAAATTTTTATATATAGATAAGAAAATATTATTCTATCAATATTTTACTCAGTAATAATAATAATAATATATTATAATTTAATATAGGAGGCCTGGAATAACTTTTATAAAATATTTTTAAAATATATATTATATTATTAATTATTTATAACCAGATATTTCTCAAAGAAGAGAAATCTCTTGTTTAAATCTATTTTTCTAAAAAAAAAGTATATATTTCTATTATATTTACTAAGACTAGCTTAAATTATATAATTATTTATATTAAATTAATAGTTAAAAAAAAGTCTACTATCATTAAATTATTTACTAGAAATTTTAATAAATATATAATATTAATTATAAGTTATTTAGTAAATTTAGCTAGTCTAAACTTATAAAATCTTTATTATAATTTATATTTATTTTTTTTAATTATTTTAAAAGCTGTAAAAGACCAGGCTGTAAGTTAGATACTATATATAAATTAAATTTATATAATTTTTATATATAAGTATTATATACTTAAAATATTTAATATCTATTTAATAAAAAGAAATATGTAGAAAGTCTTATTAAATTTTATTATAATAATATATATTAAACTAGTTCCTGTGCTGAATAATTCAGAAAAAAGATTTTTAATTAAAGAATAAATTATATAAGATAAAGAACTGGTAATACTGGATAAAAATAAAAAATCTCAGAAAAATAATATTATAAATATTAAATTAATAATAAAATAAATAATATATAAAATTATATATAATTTTATAAAGAATAACTGAAGTCTTCACAGTTCCTGATTATTAATTATCTTAATTCTACTAATAATAATATAAAATATTCAGTAAAAAACTTTTACAGAATATATTATAAATATAAAAATAATTATAAATTATTAATTACTCTAGTATTATATTATATATTTTTAATTAAAATATACTAATATAGAATATATACTATAGATATTATTCTATTTAAATTTATTTTTTAAATAAAATTAAATATAGTTTTTATAGAGACAGGAGTAAAATCTTAGTTTTTAAAAATAATAATTTTTTAATAACTAAGAAACTTATATATAGAATAACAAAGAATCTTAATAATAATAATATAATTAATATTACAGATATAAACAGACAGAATAATCTAGTTAATATTTATATAAATAATAATATTTTAAGATTTATTAAAGATACTATATATACTAGTCTAGAGATAATCAGTACCAGTATAAAATAATATTTTATTAATATAAATAATATAAAAGAAGTATATATAAATACAGAAATAAAAATATTTCTTACTAGTAATCTTCACGAGGTACCTGAATAGATATATTAATAAATAAGAATTAAATATAATAAAATTAATAGATTAGTATATTTATTAATACAGATATAAATAATTTTAAAAGTCTTAAAAAACAGCTACTTATACTTATTAAAAATAAGATAAATATAAAAAAAGAAATTATTAATATTAATCTTTTTATATCCTAGATTAAAGATATAAATATTAAAATTAAAAATATTATAATTAAACCAGGACTTAGAATACAGCTT